TAATAGAAGATTCAAAAGAAATGTTTTATCTGTTCCCCCCGGCGCATCTAAAAATATAATTATGGGTTGTGACAAATTAATTTTTGCTAAGACAGCATCAAAAACTCTTCTTTGTTCTGGCAAGAGTTTGGGCAGCATGGATGCAACATTGTCTTCAAGTTCTGCCGTATCATACGCAAGTTCTCTTAAAATGTCAGAATTGGTAACCACATTTCTCCTGGGTGCTCCTAAGCCTAATTCCTGCAGTTTCTTCCCACATATAGATACGACACGATCCTCAATGTTACACAATGTTTCATTATATATCAGATCATTATACCTGATGGTGGAATCGAGAAGCTGATAACGATGAAGAATATCACTTGCCATCTCATCTCTATAGGTAATCCATAACTGCTGAGGGTTCGAAATTGTGCACGTAGAAATTAATATGGCAAACAATTGCCTTACTCTTGTAGGAGCCTGACAAAGAACGGCCTCATCCATTGTGACAACCCAATGGTTATCATTCTCCAATAATCCAATAGCTGCGCATATTTCTCTAAATGTTTCGTATTGACTGCCATTAACAATCTTCAAATATGCGAAGGAAGTTGGTCCCTTGATGTTATGTAGTAACATACGTAAACAAAAGCATTCAAAGTTACTGACATGCACAGCGTAAACCCGTCCAATAGTGTCTGATCTCTTCACTCCAGGCTGTCCTTCGACCAGCTTGCCTTGAACGCGCCTTCTCCATTCGTGGGCAGAAGAATTCCAAGTGTAGTATTGGGGAACATCTGGATAGAGCAGGGTCCTAGCAAAGGAATCAGTTTGGCATAATGAAAAAAATGCAGTCAGGGTTGTCCTTGGTGGATTACGCATTCGATGGGCAAGAGTGTTTTGATTGAAATATATCCGTTCTCCATTCTCAAGATGCACAGCTAAATGGATAACAGGTGGATGGCGTTGGTGTAAAGGGAAGCTGAGAAGACGCCAAACAGCTTCATTGCTGCTTATGTATCTGGCACACTGATACATTCGCACCTCATTTTGAGGGTCAGGACCTCTACCTTCTCTGCGTAAATTAATAATAGCTTGATCACTGCCCTTATTAACATATTTGCAAATATATTTTATTGCCTTAACAGAACTACAGTTCTCAACATTGATATGTGCACAAAACATCTTCGATAGCAATGGAGAATAAGGCACCACCCAACGATTGTCAATTGTGACCTCTTCTCGTCCACGTATTTTAACCTTTGCAGTAAAGCCACCTGCTTCAGGTGCGCGTCTCCTATATAAAGGATAACCATTCTCATTAGTCTGGGTTTCCAGCAAAAACTGTTTTGGATATTTTTTAGAACAGCTACTATTCTTCATACAGGGGGACACAGGGTTGTACTCACCGCAAGGCCCATGTATCATATTCTTAACCACAATGTTATACAATAGAGGGTCTTGAATAGGATCTGGAAACTCAGCACATATAACAGAGTCTATCTGAGTGGGACGGAGCTTATTTGCTAGCCAAACTAATATGTGAGCATGAGGAAGTCCCCTTTTCTGCCATTCAACAGAATACATCCACGCAACTGCTGCTCCATACAATTGGCCTTTTGTTAGAGCCCCAATAAATTTAACTAATTTTTGCCGAAAAACCCGAGCTGTGATATCATGTCTATCCAGCTGTTTTTGTCCTGGTAGCAACGCTGCAGATAGCTCTTCCCAAGAGGGGTTGCTTGTAAAAGTAATAAAAGATCTGGACGCCCAAATTTCCGAACATAACAAAAAGCATCCTGCGTATATTCTGCCAAATACCTGGGACTATTGACAAAACTTGATGGTAAAATGATCCTTTGACCCAAGCTATTAGGGTTAATATTTGCATCAGTTGACAGGGCATCGCGCAAATGAATATAACTCTCTGCACGCAAGTTTCTCTGGTGCAGCGTAATATAGCGCAAACGTTCACTTTCTACCTTCGCATACATATCGACCAGGAATTGATGAAAGAGCTGGCCAAATTGAACAATGACATTTGGACTATTTCGGCGAACCATAATAAAATAGCCATAAAAATCCATAGAAGACACTTTACTTGACAAAGGCTGGCTAGTGTTTGGGTCGATCTGAGGAATATGAAAAGAATATCCTTCTTGGCCTTTCCAGAAAATTAAAGGATATTGAAGGGCATCATAAAAGCGATGTGTGTCGCTAACATGTTGTAGCAAATTATCGCGCTGATGTAAAACAATGTTACGTGAGCCAAACTGATTACCAGCTAAGACAACCGCAACCTCATCAGCTGTAGGAGCATTATACCGTCTAGGATGTTGACCAGGAGGTGTCCGATCAGCATTTACAACAACTCTGTATGCATCACTGGGGAGATTTTCAAGTGCAGTTTTAAACTGTTGAACCAGTAGATTGTGTTGGTGCAACATGCGCTGCAAACCCTGTACAATATTACGACGTACTCCCTGTATTTGCTGGCATCTTCGATCAGTCTGAATATCATCATCATCATCATTGCCCATAAAATAGATCTGAAGAAATCTACTTGGCTGGTTCTCAGATGGCATAAGTGAACCTATTCTGTGGTAGACCTGGCCTTGGATAGAAAATGTGGTTGGAAAAGTAACAGAGTGGGTTTGGTTTTCAGCTCCAAATGATGTCATTTGAAAGCAGGAATTATATTTGCGAATATTACGCAAAAAATGGACTGAATCAGAATTCTCTCCAGATAAAAGGCTGCGAAGTGGCTCGGGAGGTAAGTCAATTAATGGCAAACGGACTTTCCCGTTTGAACAGCACATTCCAGAAGACTCATCTTTCCATCTTAAGGCCCCACAAAACCTGCATGTAGTGTCCATCATCCCAAGGGAAATTAAAGGGTGCTTAAAGTATTCAACAGCAACAGAATAATTAAAACCTGCATTTTCCATAGAAGACCAAACGCTGCTGAAAAAATTATGTGTTCTAGTATTCCTCCGAGTAGAAGAATATATTTCTGAATGAGCCTGTAAGCGAGAATGGATGGGAGCAGGTGTCTCTAACGACCGCACAGCGGCTTGACGCGCAGACTGTGAACGCAATCTTCGAATATTCTGTCCTCTGGTTTCGCGCAGTCTGTAAGCATGCTGAACCCTAGAGCTATTGGAACGCTGAGAAAGATTGCTTCTCCTATGGCTTGGCATACCTACAAACACAAAGCATTAGTAAAAATAAAAATAAGGATAACTGAAAAAATGTAAAATATCAAGGGCTGAGAATGAAGAAAAAAATTAAAAATAGTGTATTAAAATAAGCTCGACTCATGACTAAGGCCAAAATAAAAAAATGCATAGAAATAATCTGAAAGGAGGGGAAAAATGCATAAAACTCAGTGAAAACGTAAAACAACTGATTAAAAAAAATCAAATGGAAGAAGACGTAAAAAAAAGCATAATTTGCTGAAAAAATATGCACAATAAATAAATGAGCAGCTACATATTAGGAAGCAGATAAATATAAATACTACCCAAACAAATGACAGCAAAAAAAAAAAAAAAAAAAAAAGACAATGGAAGAAGGCCTAAAAAAAAAGTTAATTTGGTTGAAAAAACTGCCCAATAAATTGAGCCTATATAGACATATATGAGCAGCTACATATTATGAATCAGATAAATATAAATACTACCTAAACAAATGACAGCAAAAAAGACAATGGAAGAAGTCCTAAAAAAAAAAGTCTAATTTGGTTGAAAAAAACTGCCCAATAAATTGAGCCTATTGCTGAAAAAATATGCACAATAAATATGAGTAGAACATATATAGATATACATGAGCAGCTACATATTAGGAAGCAGATAAATATAAATACTACCTAAACAAATGACAGCAAAACAAAAAAAAAAGACAATGGAAGAAGGCCTAAAAAAAAAGTTAATTTGGTTGAAAAACTGCCCAATAAATTGAGCTTATATAGATATATATGAGCAGCTACATATTATGAAGCAGATAAATATAAATACTACCTAAAAAAATGACAGCAAAAAAAAGACAATGGAAGAAGGCCTAAAAAAAAAGTCTAATTTGGTTGAAAAAAACTGCCCAATAAATTGAGCCCACCCCTTAAAAAAAGCAGTTATTAAAAATGTATAGAAGCTGCTTACAATATAAAATATTGCATGGAACAAACATATATAGTAAAATATATGTAGTAAGCTATACAGAAAAAAACATAATTAGAAATTAGAAAATTATTTCTAAACAATAATCTAAATCGTAAATGATTATATGAATATATAATACAAAATGAATAGTCCTTTTATGAGAATCAAACAGTATACCTTTGTCTAATTTGTATGAAAAAACTGCCCAATAAATTGAGCCTACCCCTAAAAAAAAGCAGTTATTAAAAGTGAATAGAAGCTGCTTACAATATAAATGCTAATAAGTATTAAACATATATAGTAAACAATATATAGTAAAATATATAGTAAAACATATATAGTAAAATATACATAGCAAGATATTTAAAAAAAACATAATTAGAATTAGAAGAATTAGAATTAGAATCTTACCTTTCGAAATACGCAGAGTGTAATAACAAAACGTCTATTAACCAATCACAATCAAGTTCGTCGCGACCAGTGCGGCGCCAAGCGGCAAAAGGCGCGAACTAATCCATTTCAGTTAAAAAAAAATTAAAAAAAGTACATTAACCTTTGTAGTTTTTTGAATAGCCTATATGTTAAACGAAATCTTCAGCTACCTACATGCGAAATTCCATAATGATTGAGTCAGTAGATTTTGCGTGATGCGATAACAAACATCGATTTCGCATTTCATTTTTATAGATATAAGGATTATAGATTATAAACACAAGGTAATAAGGCAAATAAAAAAATAGTGTGTGATAAGGCACAATTTGGATTATCTACCCATATAATTGCCTTATTCTCTCTGTGTGAAGTTCACTGTGTGAAGTTCACGGATAGATTTTGGTCAGAATGGATAAAATAAAAAAAAAGTGTCAAGGGATGGGAATCGAACCCACGACCTTCCCCCTACCGGGCAGATGCCATGACCACTAGGCTACCCTGGACATATTTTTCCGTTCACATTTTTATTTTTATATTTTCAAGACACACACAGTTTGGGGCGGGACGTTTCACAAGAGAGACATCCACGGCGCAAATTTATAATTGTAACGAATAGTATTTTAATTGAAACATTTTTAAAATATATACTCAAAGAAAAACAGGGTAACGTGGTAAGATTCTTTTAATAGAACACGACGAGCTTTCAGGCAGCAACTGCCCTTCTTCAGGTCTAATACAAGTGTAGACAAAGAAGTGCCGTATTTATAAGGCACTTCTTTGTCTACACTTGTATTAGACCTGAAGAAGGGCAGTTGCTGCCTGAAAGCTCGTCGTGTTCTATTAAAAGAATCTTACCACGTTACCCTGTTTTTCTTTGAATATTACAGCGTGGCGATAAAATATATACTCACTCGGGTAAAACCCGGGCGTTGCCCGGGCCATTCGTCTAATATGATATAAAAATAATAACATATTGAATAAAAAAATGTAAACATAATATATATTTGTGCACTGAAGGTTCAAGGTTTAGTATTTCAGTTAAGCTTTCAATCTTATCCAGTCTGGAATCATGGGTTGGTCACTGGGTAATATTCGTCTATCCCGATCCTACTGGAGGGTGGGTTCTCTCTTGTGTGTTAGATTCCTCAAATTACAATACTCCCTCAACCCAGATGGGAACGTCATTTAGAATCTTGGTCAAATGGAACATAGCCCAGACCTCTATTAAACTACACAGTCCATTTAAATCTAGGGTGACAACCGTATGAAGAGAATTTTTCTGTTTGGCAGAGCGACTAATCAATTTCTACTATTTTGTTTGCGGCTCCGTTTACCTTGTCTCTGGGGTGTGTACAGTTCAGCTACCTCTCCCTTCCAAGAAAGTCATATTACTTTCATCTACTAATATACTCTCTATTCATTGACCTGAATCCTATTAATCTACATCTTATCAATTTGAATCTTATCAATCTGAAATTTTGGTTCTTTTACAAATTCCTTCAGAATTCTACTCCCTGTATAACTGTACTTAATTCTACTGTCCTCAATACAACACTTCTAAAACTTTGACTCATTGGCTCGTTCTGGCGTCTCGTTCGCGTTAAACAATGAGTTTAAACTCGTTGAAGGTCCTATTAAATACTTTTTCTGCCTCTCGAATCGGTCTTATGCTCGAATTCATTCCAACAAAACGTATGGCAGGGCGAATCCTTTATTAGAAGAAACTTCTGCTAGCTATGGGGGATCAAACTGGTACCAAAAAAAATATCAATAGACGGAAACTACTTCGTCTAGAATAACTGGGCGATCTCTGCCTACATGCCAATCTTACAGGACCTCCCGTCTGAAACACCCTCGCTCCAGCCACGCTAAAAGCGTCGAAAACTACGGTGTCAGATCAGTTACTCAAGGTCACGCCGTTATGCCCCAGGCTATACAGCATGGCTAAAACAAATCCCCCATCCTGCATAAAATTCAATCTATACCTCTTCGTTTCCTCTTGCGAGGAGGAGTTGAGTGGGCAATTCGGCTTGATCCTTGCCTTCCACTATCTCCAAGTCTGAGGGTCGGGATAGGGATCATTTATCCACAATCCTTAGAATTCAAGCTAATTATAATGAAGTAAAGTAATTATATATACTTACACAAATAAAAATAATACTTATACTCCCTTAAAAGGAGGCCTAACAAAAAGGAGCGAATATCTTCCTATCAATAGAGTTGTACAGTCCTGTGAGGCTACCGATCCTAACAAATAAAGAAATCAAAAAAAAAATCGATCCTATTAAATTCCCTAACACTATTCTAATGTATCTTGGTCTAACAGTATAATAGTTTTTAACCTTCTACACATTCATTATTCCAATTCTTTCATACACCCTACCCCCTATCATTCGCGGAATGCACTCAAACTAAAGTTAAAAGCTGCTACAAAGGCCAAAATACTCATTTATTAATATCAATAGATCCTAACAAATAATAACATCTTTCAGGACAAAATGTGAAATCAAATAAAATAATAAAATTAAAAACAAATTGGGAACTAAAGCCCAAGGTTACTCAAAAGAAAATGCCTCTGTACAAGCTCTATATGTACTAATACATTATACTCACTAAATGATTGCTATCAACAATTGTTGACAAGTCTAAACAATCCGGAAGCTAACCTACCTTAAAAAAATGTAACTTCAAAAACTGCCCTTGCCTTGACACTAAGCGCCTATTCACGACAATTCTATGAAGACACACGCAGAATATAAGGGCGATTAAAGAACCATTAAACGTGACACCTCATAAAAGCGGATTGAGTCACTCCCCCAGCCACCGTGGGTGAAGTCACTTTCTTCTTACCTCGTCGAGCGTCTGCCCCCTTTGCAGTAGCCCGACCTCAACACTATTGAAAGATGGATTTATAGGGTTTATGATTCACTACCCAACACTAACATTTTCAAGTGCTTTCCAAGGATCTACTACAGTCTGGGCCTACTTGACTTATACCCCTATACTTCACAACTTCACTCTGAGAGATTGACTGGGTGACCCCGTGAGGTTTGGCCAGATCCGAAACTAGGCCTCCCTATGACGTCAAAATGACGTCGCGATGTAAACAAAGGTTACGACTGGGTCATTATTTTTTTTTTTTTTAAACACGATTTAATTATTGATATTCTAAATACCTGCGATTATTTTATAGTTTCAATATATATATTTTTTTTTTTTTTCTAAATGGCCTGCTAATTTTAAATAGATTTTTTTTGAAAATATTTAGCAGAATTTTAAACACGTGTATGTTGTGAATGCACCTTGAGAGCAATGGTGTCCGATATTTAAAATGATTATTAAATTAATTATTAATTAATGTAAAAATTTTGTTGTTAATTTAGGTTAGTTTAAGTTCGGTTTAGGTTAGGTTATGTTAAGGTTCGTTCAGGTTAGGTTAGGTTAGGTTAGGTTCGCTTAGGTTAGGTTAATTTAAGTTAGCTTTAGGTTAGGTTAGGTTAGGTTCAGGTTCGTTCAGGTTAGGTTAGGTTAGGTTCAGGTTAGGTTTTAGGTTCAGGTTAGGTTAGGTTAATGTAATTTATTAATAGTTTTATTATTATAAATATGTAATATTCATAATTTTATTATTTTTATTTTTTTATATTCTATATTATATTTATTTTGTATATTCCTATTTATAAATATAACCTTTGGCACCATTGGAACGTATTACGCCAGTATTTCTTTGTTTACGTTGGCGCTAAAAAAATAATTAAAAAATTGTTAATAGAAAATTATTGAAATAAAAAACCCTTTATAAATATATTGACACTATAAATTAGTCGCAGGTATTTAAAATATTAATAATTAAATCGAATTAAAAAAAAAAAAAATGACCCAGTCGTAACCTTTGTTTACATCGCGACGTCATTTTGACGTCATAGGGAGGCCTAGTTTCGGATCTGGCCAAAGTCAACGGTGTCTCCCTAAATCTTTTTTAAAATTATAATTTAAATTTATATATTTAAATTGGTAAAATTCTAAGTATTTCACCAAAATTGTATTTTTAAAACGTGTAAAACGCCTCGAAGGTACGGCGGTGGAAATGAACAGCGCCACCTACCAAAGTTAACCTTTTCTGGGAACGCTCCAACTTTGTAATTGTCTTCTTGATAAAAATTCGGCAAAGAAACATTTGTTGCGCTAGTCATTTTGTGAATCTACGTACTTTTATTATTTTCGCCAAATGTGATATTTTATATTTAAAATTTTGAGAATATTGAATATTAATTATTATTTATTTGTAACAAGTACTTAGTTTTTAAAATTTTGCTAAGAAGGAATAAAATATTGTAAACGAGATGATGATAAGTTAATATTTTCTGACGAAATAATTTTATAATCATAGAAGGACCAAATATAGGTTTTTAACTTTTAATTAGGCAATTTTAATTTATATTTAGACATTTTTCATTTCAATTTAGACACTTTCATTTTTATATAGACATTTTCAATTTTAATTTAGACATTTTTCATTCTAATTTAGACACATGGCCTTTTTATAGAAAAGTCAATGTCTAAATTAAAATGAAAAATGTCTAAATTAAAATGAAAAATGTCTAAATTAAAATGAAAAATGTTTAAATTGAAATGAAAAATGTCTAAATTAAAATTGAAAATGTCTAAATAAAAATGATAGTGTCTAAATTAAATGAAAAATGTCTAAATATATATTTCAAAATTGTCTAATTAAAGGTTAAAAACCTATATATAACAATTATAGAGTTTGCAAATGAATCATTAATTTATTATCATTACAGTTATAAAAAAAATAAGTTCCAAAAATAATCTAATCTTAAAGTAAATAATCTATCAACCGCACTCCCCCCCCCCCTTTTTTTCCACAGATAAATATTGAAGAATTTGAAGTAGACATAGCTAAATATATTTTTTGTTCTATTTAGAGATTGAATTTTATTTAATTCTATTTAATGAATGAATTTGGAAATTAAAACAATGAGCTATTAAATGGACATATCCATAAAATACATTTATTATTAAAATATTAGTGCAAAGGCTGTTTCCATGTTCCCATAAATTTTTGTTATCTAATATACTACTCTGATAAAGAATTATCGACACTGCTCATAAGTTAAAAAAAAAAACTTTATTATTCTACCAAATACAAATTGTCCCCTTCAAAGTAGTCCCAGTTGGCCGCGATGCACTTCAGCCACCTTTTTTCTCCAGTCAGCAAAACACCTCTGGTAGTTTGTTTTCGGGATCGCCTTCATGGCCTTCTCAATTCCACTTTGATCTTGAAGGGTTGTTCATTGTTGTTGGGCTCGGTTGAATAAATGGAAAGGGATGCAAGATGTGACTTAGTAAAAATTACCTTACTAAAATATTGTTGCACCAGGTTGCGGCTTGGCAGACTCTTCAGCCTTGATTCTCTCCTGTGCTGGGTCTTGCATCTTACCAGAGCGTGTTTCAACCATCCTACAAATTTATATAAGGGAATAATG